ACAGCTGATCCCGCTCAGATGTGAGTTTTTCTTTATCGAGGATCAACTTCTGAAGGCCCTTGGAAGCAAGGAAGTTAGCCTGCAAAGCAAAAATTCAAATAAAAAATCTCGTCATAGAAAAACTAGAAGAAATAGTAAAAGGAACAAGTATTGTACTGCTGCCGCATTGTGCATGGCATTGTTTACCATACACTCCCTCGAGAGAGAGTGTATTTTCTTCATGTCTTTCTCTAAAGCCAGAGGCTTCAAGTAATTGGCGAGTTCCACTGGCCAGGACAACAAATAGCACTCGATGGAAATCGAGAGGGAGACGCTCATGTTCTGCAGAACAGGGTCAATAGTTATGCCCAAAATTCCCATGGTCTTGGGACTAAAGAGTAGGAACATCCTCCTCTTGGGTATCTACGGCTGGTAGGGGTAATGTAGAGGTTGCTGGTGGTAAAGGAATGGCCGTGAAGAAGGAGATGAAGATGATGGTGTTGTGGGTTGAGACACAGCTGCGGCAAAAGCAGTGCTAGTTATTGGTTGCTCATCAACCGAAGACGGAAGAGTCCTAGTACCCAGCTTCACAGTACCGGGAGCAGCGACTGGGACTCGAAAGCAAGAATTGGCATCCTCCACTATATCGCACTCTCCCCAGAGCACCTGGACGTCGTCCTCGGTTGGTATTATTAGCTCTTCAGATTGTACATTTTGTTGAGCTGATGAAGGTCATCGTCTCATGTGCCAAGCAGACTTGATACCGGTAGCAAACTCCAAGATTAAAGGGTTAAGTCCCCCGCTCAACAAGAATGGGCCAAAGTGAAAAGATACATGTAAATATATGTAAACCCCTTTTTAGAGAAGGTTACTCGCTCCGCCAGATAGGGAGCGATGATGTTCAAATCATGGCAACCACAGTCCTCCTTCACGGCAGGAATGCTAGAAGGACGGATAGAATAAGGGTACACACCAACAACCCATGTACGGGATTTAGCAAAAGGAAACTTCTCTTCAAAGTCCTTGGCTGTACTGAGCCTTCTGGGAATAATGGTGCTCACCGTAGGAGGGGCATCATCATCGATGTTTTCTTTATTTTTTTGAAAAGCTTAAGTTGTTGGAGTAGGAGGCCATAGTTAGCAGAAAAAAGTAAGAATTCTTCGAAGAAGGAGGATAAGGGAGAGTGAAAGCAAGAAAGAGTTGAGTAAGTGAAGTCGAGAGAGTTCAAAAAATTGTGAAGTGTAAAAAAAGAAAAATTAGGCGTATAAGTAAAGGAATAGGCGGCTAAAATCGTGGACATGATTACCTCGAGAACAAGCAAAAGTATTTCTAAATCGTGGAGTGATGCGTGTTCGGGGCATTAAATGCGGAGAGACGTGCGTCTAATCAAGCGTTAGAAACTTTTCAGAAGAGATCAGAAAATTTCATGCCAAGAAAGGTATCTTCACCAACTTTCCGATGACACAAAGATGTGCCACTGAAAAGTAGGGGGACTATCTGTATAGGGTAAAATCGGTTCATATTAAATACTCGTATAATAGAGAAACACGTGGAACCGGAGACAGACGAAAAACGAGACAAGTGAAAACCAAGACTGGGGGCAGCAGCTTCGGTTCGCACCGGGAAGCTCCTGAAAGGAATATTGCTAATGAAGACAAACGAATGCCTGCCACTCTATAGCATTCAATGGAGAATATTCTGCAGTATTAAATACACAATCCATTATAGAGAATTTTGGCATTCATAGCCTGCCGTTACATATTCTTCAATGGCTCCATAATTGTCATTTAAGAGGGGCTTGATCCTAGGGCCTTGTTCCCTAGGTGCAACTATAAATAGTGACTTCACTAGCTATTGTAGGGGATACGAACAATAACATTTCATTTCTTATTTATTGATATTCGTATTGCTGCCTTCAGAAGCTCTGCTCCCGGGACCAAGCTATTTGCTGCCTTATATCGTTTTCATCGCTAACAATAACATACCTAGTATTATCCCACATCGTGGGGTCTGGGGAGGGTAGTGTGTACGCAGACCTTACCCCTACCTTCTGAGGATAGAGAGGTTGTTTCCAATAGACATCGGCTCAGGAAAGTATAAGCACCACAATAATGAAAATATAGACAAGAAGGGATAGTACCAAAAAGCCATATAAAAATAGAATAAACAACAACAAAACAGTAAGGTGATCAACAATGAAAAAAAACAACGGCTAGTCATAAATGCGTCAATACTACTGTTATGACCACTCTAGACTACCTACTCTACTACCCTAATCCTCGACCTCTATACCTTCCTATCAAGGGTCATGTCTTCGGTCAGCTGTAGCTGCGCCATGTCTTTCCTAATCACCTCTCCTCACCTCTTCTTAGGCCTACCTCTACCTCATCGTAGTCCCTCCAATGTCAACCTCTCACACCTCCTCACCAAGGCGTCTGTGCTCCTCCTCCTCACATGACCAAACCACCTAAGCCGCGCTTTCCGCATCTTGTCCTCAATAGGGGCCACACCCACCATATCGCGAATAACGACATTTCTAATTCTATCTAACCTGGTGTACTCGCACATCTATCTCAACATCCTCATCTCTGCTACCTTTATTTTCTGGATATGAGCGATCTTGACTGGCCAACACTCAGCCCCATACAACATCGTTGGTCTGACCACCACTCTGTAGAACTTACCTTTAAGTTTCGGTGGCACCTTCTTGTCACACAAAACACCGGAAACGAGTCTCAATTTCATCCATCCCGCCTCAATACGATGTGTGAAATATTCATCAATCTCCCCATTCCCCTGAATAATATACCCAAGGTACTTAAAACTCCCTCTCCTAGGGATGACCTACGAGTCCAGCCTCACCTCTTCTTCTCCTCCTTGAGTCTTGCCACTGAAATTACACTCTAAGTATTCTGTCTTGGACGTGCTCAACTTGAAACTTTTAGATTCCAGGGTCTGCCTCCATACCTCTAACTGCGCGTACACATTTTCTCGTGTCTCGTCGATCAATACAATATTATCTGCAAATATCATACACCACGGCACCTCCCATTGGATGTGGAGCGTTAGTACGTCCATCACCAGAGCAAACAAAAAGGGCTGAGTGTTGACCCCTGATGCAACCCCATCATAATCGAAAAATGGTCTGAGTCCCCACCCACCATTCTCACTCGGATCTTTACTCTATTATACATGTCCTTAATCAACCTAACATAGGCAACGGGTACACCTCTAGCCTCCAAACATCGCCACAAAACCTCCCTCGGAACTTTATCGTACGCCTTTTCTAAGTCGATGAACACCATATGCAAGTCCTTCTTTCTCTCCCTATACTACTCCATCAATCTCCTAACAAGGTGGATGACTTCTGTAGTCGAACGCCCCGGCATAAACTCAAACTGGTTCTCGAAAATAGACACACTCCTTCTCACCCTTAGCTCTACCACTCTCTCCCAGACTTTCATACTATGGTTAAGCAGCTTGATACCCCGATAGTTATTACAATTTTGGATATCACCTTTGTTCTTGTATACAAGAACCATCGTGTTCCACCTCCACTCTTCGGGCATCTTCTTTGTTCAAAAAATTATACTCCCTCCGTTCCAATTTATGTGAACCTGTTTGACTGGGCACGGAGTTTAATAAAAAATAAAGACTTTTGGAATTTGTGGTCCTAAACAATTGAAAAAGGGGCCCAGAGTATTTGTGTGGTTATAAAAGCTTCTCATTAAGGGTAAAATTATAAATTTAAGCAAAATTGTTTCCAAATTTAGAAAGGGGTCATTCTTTTTGGAAAGGACCAAAAGGAAATAGGTTCACATAAACTGGAACGGAGGTAGTATTAAATAACCTAGTGAGCCACTCCAAGCCTATCTTGCCCGCATTCTTCCAAAACTCCACTGGGATTTCATCCGCCCCGGTCTCTTTGCCTCTGCTCATCTTACGCATAGCCTCCTCAACTTCATCAACTTTAATCCGCCTACAGTACCCAAAGTCATAGCGACTCCCGGAGAGTTTCAAATCACACAGTACAATGCTCTTGTCTCCCTCCCCGTTCAAGAGACTATGGAAGTAGGTCTGCTATCTCCGACGGATTAGCCCATCATCCAACAAAACTCTACCTTCTTCGTCCTTGATGCACTTCACTTGGTTCAAGTCACGCGCCTTCCTTTCTCGCGCCTTGGCTAACCTGAACAATCTCTTATCCCCACCTCGGCCCTCAAGTTCCTCATACAAACAACTAAAAGATGCAGTTTTGGCCGCCGTAACTACTAGCTTTGCCTCTTTCTTAGCCAACTTATAATGCTCCATATTCGCCCTCTTCTCCTCCTCGTCTACACTTTCCACTAACTTTAGATACGCTGCTTTCTTGGTTTCCACTTTTTCTTGCACCTCTTCATTCCACCACCAGTCTCCCTTGTGACCACCAGAATAACCCCTTGAGACTCCTAATACCTCTCTCACAGCTTCCCTAATGCACTGCGCAGTCGTGGTCCACATAGCGCGTGCGTCCCTACTACTCCTCCAAGCCCCATAGTCACCAGCTTGACCCCCAACTCCTGCGCTTTAGCTTGCGTCAAGGCTCCCCACTTTATCTTATGTTGGCTATACATCAAGTCTTTCATTTTATTTAATTTATTTATCATTTTGGGATCAAATCGATCCGTTTGTCTATTAACCACGTTATAAAATTTAACTGTACCGTTTTACGGATAAATGTTTGACTCGTATTTCCATGCTAATGTTTTTATGGTAAAAAATTTCCGATAATCCGGTATTTATACCAATCGAATGAATATATGACACATATCTTCTTTACCACTAAAATATATTACCCCTATTAATTAATAATATATGCACTTACCTTAATTTGACTCGATGAAATAAATTAGTGTTATTTGGTATTTTTATGGCTGCGGGTAAGTTTTTATACTATTCTATTCTTATTCGCAACTACAACTAGGAGAAAAGCCTAGAAGAAGAGGAGGAGACGGCGACGGCGACGGCGACAGTGGTTAGCAATGGCATTGGCACGTGAAACGGTGTTACCTGAAGAGATGGTAAGGGAGGTTCTGTTATTGCTGCCATTGAAGTCTCTGTACCGATACAAGTCTGTCTCAAAAACCTGGCGCTCAATCATCTGCGAACATGAATTCATGAAACTGCATAACGGCCGCAACATAGGGATCGTCATATCCAATTCTAGCTCCTTTTTCCTTATCAAGGCTCCGTCTTACTAATATCCCTTCTCCTCTTCCTCCTTTTATCGAGCAGCAGTTCGGTACTGCTGAAATTGGATTCACAGAAGTAATCAATGGCCTCTTTTGTTTTTATACTCCAGTTGGTGACCTTACTCTCTGCAATTCCTACACTTTTGAAACAATGGAACTCCCACTCCCCTCGTTTTTCCGTCCTAATAAATATGAAACTCAATTTCGTTTCGGATTCGATCCCTTTATTGGCTCCTACAAGTTGCTATGCATTGGCGGCCTCTTCGATAGTGATAATGTTAATTTCCTAGAGATTCTTACTCTAGGAGGAGTGGATATGAACAAAACAAAGACCAAGAGTATAAGCAGAAAGTACAACTGGATAAAGCTGGCGCCTACTCACGATCTACAAGTAAGTATGGATTTGTCATGCACACCAAATGTTTGGATAAATGACTCTGTGTATTGGTTGGTCGAATGCGACAACTCTAAACGGAAAATACTGGCATTTAACCTTAGAAAACATTGTTTTTTTTTACTATCTTCCTGCCTGCTGCTGCAAATCATCAAAATCTTGTAGTTGCAGATGCCGCCAGAATAGTGAAGCTAAGGGGAGGTTTGGCGGTGGGATGTTTCACCGCCGCCACCACAACTACACAAGAATTGGATCTCTGGGAATTGAAGGGGTCGAATTGTTGGATCAAATGCTCCATCACCTTACCTGAAGAACTTCAGGTTAGATGTAATATAGAGAGCTTGTCCACTATTGGTAACCTTCCAACTGGTGAAATACTGCTGACTAATCCTAATCCTAATCCTAATATTAATGATAATGATGATTCTAATTTTACCTCTATTTATTCTTATGATCATTCCACTATTAAGTTTCAGAGGTTTGAAGTTGGCAAGTTTCCTTGTACCATTACTGGTGAATCTTTTCAAATATCTTGTCTCGAATTAAACAACAGTGATTCCCTTATAGTTTTATTGCGCAAACCCCCAATTGCTGCTCTTCAATATATGGAGGAATATATGAGAGAAGAAACGCTTGCAGAAAAACTTAGAAGAATACTTATCGAGAAAAAGAAAGAAAGAAAAGTTTCAAGAATACGAGCATGAAGACGCAAGTGACTTTATTTAGTAGGAGTATAATATTATTTTGATATTTTTCTGTTTATGTTTTATTGCCTAGCGAGTCGTATTTATTTTGCCATGAATGGAACTAAGGTATTTGTTTCCGTTATATATCTCTCCCTTAAGAATAGTTCTTTTAAATGATGCATTCAGTTTTTGACATGAGTTGAGCTCGTATATTTATTTATGTGCATGTCTTTGCAGAAAAAGATTTTGATGAGTTTAAATTTTAACTTAAACAATTTAATTATGAAGAGCATTGGAAGACAGTAAGTCCAATGATTTCACTACACAATTAAAATAATAAACTTTGTAATTTCAAACTTTCAAATCGTAGACAAGGCCAGTTAATGCTATGGCCTATGAAGCCAAAAACATAAAGAAAAGAGCAGGAATAATACTGACAGTTTGTATTGTTGTCTGTATGATTTGGTTTTGGAGTTAATTTATGATACATTGCAGTGTAAAAGGTTTTTAAACTACGTTATATCTTAACTGGTTATTTTAGGTTATTTACTATATTTTCTAGGTTTACTATTGTGTTATGTAGGCTTGACGTGATGAATGATGATGTAAAGAAAATATACACTCAATTCACAGAAAATAAAGTTGTTATAATTTGAAATGATATTATTATGTGAATATTTTACACCATTAATGTATATATAATTTAAATTACTAATCTCCCGTTGCGTCTGTCTGGAGCTCTGTCGTCAATTCGTTAATTGCATGAGTTACTTTGTAATCACCCAATGTGAATATTAGCATATTCAAAACCTAACAATTGGAAGGAAAAACACAATTGTAGTAATCAATCTCTTTACAATAGTGTGCAATTCAAAATTTTGATCAAGAACTACGAAAATGTTATCTATGCATCAGCAATACATGTTTCTGATCATTGTCTTGGTCCTCTTGGAATTTTAGACTTCAGCTGTGTATATCAAGATTTGAAGTAGCTACTCACAACAGGCTTTCTTGGGAAATTTTAAATTTTACAAGTTCAATTCTGACAATATATAATTCAAGGGGAAAAGGTGTTTGTTGGTGAAATATTGAAGATATATAGACCTTTTTTTTGTAATAACGCCTATCCAACTTAGCTTGTGTACACCGTACCTATTCTATCGGGCAAAAGAAAAAAAAAATCCTTTCTTATCTTCCCTCTCGAGGGAAAGAGGAGAGGTCTTACGCCTCATTTGTTTGCACTTAATGGAGATCTAACTCTTAATATTTCATAATATTTCAGATCTTAATCATTAAGTGCAATTATTTTTTAGATTTGAATCTTAATAATCCAAATCTTAACCATTAAGTCTGTTTATTTTTTAATTTTACAATCACTTAATGGGTCTGAAAGATCTTAATGATTAAGATTTATATATAACATAGTCTTTAATATCATTAAGATGTTATACATTCAAGAATTTATGTAAAATATGACATTTCACCATAACTCCTACACTTTTACCACTAACCACCACCACCACCACTGCTACCATTGTTCTCTACCATCACCAGGCACCACCCATTACTATCAATCCTCATCCACAACCACCATCGTTGTCAAGCATAAATGTTAGTTGTCACTACCACTAGCCATCATTTACGGCCATCACCACCAATCACTATTACCACTAGGGGTGTACATAAGTCGGATTGGTTCGGATTTTTCAATTATCAAGCTAAACCAATTGTGTCGGGTTATTAAATCGAAAGACCAAACCAAACCAACAAAAGTCGAATTTTTTAATCTCGGGTTTTTCGGGTTATTTCGGGGGGGTTTTCTTCGTAATGTCTTCATAGTACAAAACATAGAATTTGTGCTCCAAAAATTTCTCTGATCCTAGTAAGACATATCTATATAAGATGTTTTTCACGAAAATAACATAAAATATGAGGTGAGTTATGGCATTGTACCAAAATATTCAACAATAAAGATAATAAAATCGCATAAAATAAATATTATTAGTAAGCCATAATGAAAATAAATATAATCTAAAATTACTAAGTTGCTAAAATATATAAGAGTAACAAGTACTATTTTTACCTGACTAAACATTATAAAAAATAAGTTGTGCATTTTATCTAAACCATAGAAAAACTAAAAAAATAGATATCCAACACTATTGTCATTCCTAGTACAATTTAATTGAATGTCTTTTATTAGCATTAATATTGACTATAAAACTTATTGTAGCATTCAAGAAATATAAGTCCAAGTTTAAAATTATACGTTAAAAGATACTACAATAAATATTTTTATGTATTAAATATCTTTAAAACTTCTATATATGTAATGTCGGGTTGGTTTGGTTTCAGTTTGACTTTCTTTAGTTAAAACCAAACCCAAACCAATTATGATCGGGTTTTTTTCCCCAACACCAAACCAAATCAAACCAAACCATAGTCGGATTTGTTTTCTCGGTTTGATTCGAATTATCGGTTTGATGCAGTTTGTCGGTTTCCTTTATACACCCCTAATTACCACAATAACCATCGACCACCACTATCAGTCACCGCTATATATCACCCATCGCAGTTATTAGTCACCACCACCATCAATCACGACTGTTAATTGCTACTACTATCCACCATCTACTACCCATAATCACTACCATCAACCACCATCACCCACCAGCTACTACCCAGTCAGCACCCACAACCACAATCTTTAGCTACCACCACCACTAACCACCATATACTTTTTTAAAAATATTTTACTAATATAAATTTTTACTAATTAGGATTATTTGATTGGATTTACATTTATTAATGTTTAAATAAAGACAAAATATATAAATTCAGAGAAAATAAACAATCTTAATTATTTAGTATCCAGATCTTAATATAACATCTTAATATTCTTATGTGTATTTAGATTCAGACGTTTTAATCTTAATACACATACTAATATTCATATGTGTATTCAGGTTCAGACGCTTTAATCTTAATAAAAACATATGAGGCCTTAATGTCTTATGGAGTGAGAGAGAGTGGAAAGGCTTGGGCAACCTATCCCCGTAGGACCCTATAAAAGAACGGAAGTTGTTTAGAAATTCCATGTTGTCTAGACGAAGGACAACACTTATGTACGTGATCAAAGTATGCCACATTGTCTCGTCCCTGCTGCATTGAAGAGTACCTATGCTAACATTGGAGTGGTGGTCAAAGTAGCCGGTATTAAATGTTGATGAGAGATCGAATAATATATAACCCCCACACCACCAAAGCTTATGTAAATGGACAGAGGTAGACCCCTTCTTTCCAAAGTTATAGATTTTTCCTGTATATTTCTTGCATCGTGGTGTATGCAGAATTCCTTGGTCAGATCTCTAGACAATCTGTTTGGGATACAAAATTAAATTTTTCTTTCCAAGTTTTAACTAGGTCCAAGACCTTTTTCTCAACAACTAAAGTTCCAACCAATTTTTCGAAACAAGAATTTCTACACAAAAAACGAACCTCACCGCAACTCCCATCAGTTGTTATCCTCAATTCATCCACGTTATCAAATTCCCCTTTGCATTTGCCACGTTATAATCTTCATTTCTATCCATTGTTTAGATAATTTACATATAAATTCTTTAGTATTTGTCCAAGAATTTTTAAGTAATCATGGAAACAAGAAAGAAAATCATTAGAATTGTGATGTTGCCATGGCTAGCTCATGGTCATATCTGCCCATTTCTAGAGCTAGCAAAAGCACTTTCAAAGAGAAATTTCATTACTTATCTCTTTACTACACCAGTAAATCTCACTTTTTTCAAACAAAGACTTTCTCCCATTGAGTCCATACGTATTAAGTTAATGAAATCCAACTTCCAAATTTACCTCAACTTCCTCCTCATTACCACACCACAAATGGCCTTCCACCCCATCTTATGAACACTTTAAAAAAGGCCTTTCATATGTCCAAAGCTGATATTTTCACAATTCTTGATACTTTAAAACCAGATTTAATTATCTATGATTTTCTCCAGCCATGCATTCCAACAATGGCCGCTACATTAAATATCCCAGCTGTCCTATTTCTCACTCCTGGTGCTGCATCAAACAGTTATCACTATCATCGTAGGAATAATAATCCAAGTCTTGATTACCCTTTTCGCGAAATCTTTTTTCGTGATTATGAACATAGGAAAAACAAGAAAATATTCGATTCGCTTGAGAATGATGGCATTGATGAGAAAAATGGTGTCACGAGATGCTTTGAAAGATCCCATGACATCGTCTTGATCAAGACTTTTAAAGAGCTCGAAGGCAAATATATCGATTACCTCTCGATTTTATTCAAGAAAAAGTTTGTTCTAGTTGGCCCTCTCGTTCGAGAAATTGATCAAGAAGATGGTGAGAAACATTGTGAGATCATTGAATGGCTCAATGAGAAAGAAAAATGTTCAACAAATTTTGTTTTATTTGGGTCTGAATGTTTCTTGTCCAATGAGGAAGTTGAAGAATTGGCACTAGGACTAGAGCGTAGCATGGTGAATTTTATATGGGTAGTTAGATTTCCAATGGGAGAGAAAAAGAATATTTTAGAGGTTTTACCAAAAGGGTATTTTGAGAGAGTTGAGAATAGAGGGATAGTAATTGAAGGATGGGCACCACAAGAAAGAATTTTGGAGCATTCGAGTATCGGAGAATTTGTAAGTCATTGTGGATGGAGTTCAGTAATGGAAGGACTTAATTATAGTGTTCCAATTATAGCCATGCCCATGCAACATGATCAACCACTAAATGCAAGGTTATTGGTGAATGAGGTTAGGGTAGGAATGGAAATTCATAGAGATGAGGAAGGAAATCTTGGCAAAGAAGAGGTGGATAGGATTGTAAGAGAAGTGGTATTTCAGAAAAGTGGAGAGAGATTGAGGGAAAAAGCAAAGGAATTTAGTGAGATAATGAGAGAAAATGGAGAATATAACATTGATGAGGTGGTGGAAGAGTTGCATAAGCTTTGCAAGAAAACGTTAAGGCATAATTACTACTTAGGAAAACTATTTTAGAAAGAAAAGAAAAAAGAGCCTTGTTTACATTTTATCTTTTTCTGTTTTGTTTGTCTTAGTGCTTATGGTACTTGTTTATGGGGTGGATTTATAGGTAAATATATGAGTCATGTGAACTCATGGTCTCTCCACCAAACTAGTTATTTTATGTACATATTTTTCAGAATTGGTCTAATATTATCTGCCGACACCCATGCACCAAAGAGGATAAATGGTACACTTGATTGAATGTTGAGTTATTTACCTAAACCTCTTTTGTTTACAACAAGAAAGAGCGGCGGCAAACCTATATAAAAAAGGAAAACTCCTGTCAAGTTGAAAATACTAATCAAACACAAATTAATTCCCTAATATTGACAAAGAGTTCAGGTTGATGTCTCCTTTAGTTTGTTTGACAAATTCGTTGCCTTTACTTTTGCTCACGAAAGCTCCTCTATCTGGTTTTTTTTCTTTGTTCCTTTTACTTTAATTTGTTCAATGGATTTGTCCAAGGAGATCATCGGTTGGATATGTGATGTCTTTGAAAAGCAGTCCTTTTGAATAGAGTTCCAACGTAATGAAACATACTCCCTAAGTCTCATTTTAAGTGATTGTGTTTTGATTGGGTCGTAACTCGTGAGCATAAAGCTTGAGAACAAAGAAAAACTTTTGAATTTTATGGTCTAGAATAAGCCATATACATTTGCATAATTATAAATTATTTCATTAAGGGTTAGATAGGAAGTTTATAATTAAATTATTTCTAAATACAAACTTATGTTCTTTTCGACACAGATTTAATAAAGTTTTCAAGATCAAGAGAGAGATATGTTCTTTTCGGCACAGATTTAAGTAAAGCTTTCGGGAGAGAGAGAGAGAGAGAGAGAGAGAGAGAGAGAGAGAGAGAGAGAGAGAGA